TCCGCAAGCTTCGTGTTGCTGATGCTTGTGCGTCTCGCATAGAGACTTTTTCCATTTCACAAGGCGATAGCTGCTATTAGCACATCCTATAACAGCACAGTTGCTCTTTCCCATCTCTGACCTGTAGCTTCACGCGAAATTCTCAGCACAAATAAGTTAGACTTCGAGTAACCACTACTAGTCTGTCTAGCGATGGCTGTTTTATACCCCACTAAAATAGGTCCCAGACTCTGCGCGCAAATTTATTCATAATGGCTGCCGCTTATGTCGAATAGGTGTATTATCACGAATGCTTGATTGGTGTCTCGATGTGCAGTGGATTTGTCAATTGCTATAGAAAAGTGTGGTGGTAGCCCAGTGTTTTCCAGATGCTTATGCATATACAGTGCTGTTTGATTCATAAATGTAAGCAGCTTTCACAATATCTGGAAACTGGTTTCTGAAACGAAAAAAATACTGACATGTTGATTTGGCTGCCATATTTGAATGGTCTGATTGTCCTCAGGTTGTTTAAAATTAGAGCTTACATTGGGCAACTGTGTGCTGTGTCAATAAGTGATTACGTTTTACTTGATGGAAAATTGTGTTTATGTTGATAAGGATTAGATAATATGTTAAGAGTGCATGCTAAATATGTTGAATCAAATTTTGGCTACCTGTTTGAACATAAGATAATGAACGTACATTGCTGTCTTCATATTCATTACGTTGGGTTGAGCCCTTTCACAATTATATCACAAAAAATGCAAATATAACAAATATATTAGTTGACTTCAAAAATGCAGTGCACTTCTACACAGTTGAGCATAACATGAGATGCTAAATTCGTAAATACCTGCCATGACCAATGTTTCCAACACCGGCCTGAAAAAACGAAACCCGGCAGACTTTATCTTACAAATTTTTATTCCTGCAGCAAAAAGACTGTTGAACTGCAACTTGGATGCTCATATAGCCTGCTTTCAAAGCTGTACCATTCCTGAGCTGACCCCTGCATGAACTTCTCAGTTCGAAGAAGAGTGTTGAAGATACCAAGATAAAATAAGAGAAGTGAGAAAGGTTGACTAAAATCCCTCGATTTACCTCCTTTTCCCATTCTTGGTAGAACGTGCTCAGTTGTCAAAAGCGAAACCACCTTGGACAAGAGCAAGCAGTGACGAGGTGAATGAGACGTTGCTCTTACATCTGTACCATGTTTCATTAGTACAGTTTCTAGCTACTTTTCCTTCACCAACTTTCGAGTTTTGTATGGTTTTGTAATCATGAGATTAGGGTAATCAGGTTGTTGCCGGATCCACTAGTGAGAAGCTCAAACACCACCTCAAGCAGCATTTGTTTGAGTTTTCCTTTTGGTGTGAAAACTGCCGATTTTTTAAGCATTTGAATGAAGCAAGAGGGAAATCTACGAGAGTGGGTCACTGAAATATGAGAGCTTAAGGGAAATTTTGCTTGACTGCGATAATCACTAAGAAGAAGATATATGTTTCTCTAAGCAACATCGAGAAACATGTCAAAGCAAAACTCATGAGAGTAAATATTGATTTAGATTTGTTTTAAAAGGTAAAAAGGAAAATTTAGTTAGGGAGTATGGATTGAAATTGTATTATAAATATCAACTATGTACTATAAATATGTGATACAAAGAAATACATAGCTAAGTTATAGAATGGGCTATATAGCAAAATCAATAAAGAATGAAAAACAATATACTGGCGTTTTATGTACATGAATATTTACAATTATCAGCGAATTCATATTTAAAATGAAACAAGTTCACGATTTTAAATCGTAAATGAATTTGTTTGATATTGTAGGCAAGTACATAAAAAACTCATGTTGAGCAAAGTACTTTATAAGTCAGTCTGAAATGCTGTGAATGACGAGAAAGGTAGAGAAAGTCATGTACCAGTGGTGAAAAATATTGAGAATGTATGGTATATCAGTAAGTTGTGTATACTTGGTGGATCTAAGAGCTCATTTGTAGGCACGGACCTGCAGCATGATATAGCAAGTTGAGTTGCCTCTAATCACGTCAGATCCTGGTGGCTCAAACTGGTGCACCCTTCCATTGGATAAAAAGATTCCAGAGAAATTATAGAAGCTCATTAAGAGGCACTTTAGTGGGGCATGAAACAAACAGAAATCTTAATGTAGACATACCAGATCCAAGAAGCCATATAGCACCAGAAGGTGAAAGATAAGGAGGAAAATAATAGGAGCATCATGAGTGAGTTCATGACTGGCAAATATCTGCAAGAGGGAAAAGTAGAAGTGAATCTAAATTTCTAGGATTTTTTAGCTAAAAGGGTAGACTACTGTGTGTGTGGCATCACAATGTATGCGCAAATTGTTTCTTCAGCCAATTTACGACGATAGGGGCAAAAATATGAAGCATATTGGGTATGCTTATGAATCTTTGAGCGCACATTTATGTGCACCATACAGCAGGGGCTATTGGCAAAATAGTTTATGTTAGAACTTCATGGTAGACAATATTCTTAGTAACACTATCATTAGTGGCATAAACTTTTAGGCCTACAAATGACTTGGCTTTTGACATAACAACATATAATTGGCCATGACTGAAAACAGGCTGAGGAAGAAAAATTCCTACATACCTTTGTGAACACAGGTAACACAAATTGCATTTGTACCATAGCTATTTTTGTAACTGTTGAAATGATGCCAGTTAATGATGTATAGTAATCCAATGTACTTGAACAACTTATCAGAAAGAGGTATTTTGTTATATAGCACTTGCAATAAAACATCAACTTTTTTAAAAGAAGAAGGATAACAAGAAGAAAATCAAGAAGAAAAATTGGATTATCTTGAGTCCCAGATTGTGCAGAGGCATATCACTTGGAGTGAGTCCATTGAGAAATTCAATTTGATATGCTGTACCTACACCTACTGTACCTACCTACCTTTTATGCTTTGAGGAGTGTCAGATGAAAAAGGTTTCAGTTAATATGTCGTAAGATGTTTGCTTTTTCAATTTCAAGTTCTGTACCTCCATAAAACTGTTCACATTAGAAATTATGGAAGTATTACATATTACTTTGAAAAAACGTATAATTAGTGTCTAGGGGGGGGGGGGGGGGGGGGTTGAGTATAAGCATGGACATGAACATCTTTCTTCCATTGTAAATGAAAACATGCTTTTTATCTCATGTTTTTATTTATTTTTAATCTAAATTTTACATTGTAAATAGGACTTAGACTGTAAAGTGCAATCGAGTATTTTTATATTGTGGTGCCATATAAATTTTGCATTATCATTATTATTAATTACTAAAACAATGATAGTTGTAAAAAACAATGATAATAAGTAATTGTGATAATTGGCGTATAATCCCGTCAGTACTAAAAATAGTCAAGCTTTTGCTAGTAGTGCCACCAACAACTGTGACAGCTTAGGGCCTGATTACATGAAGAGGGCTGGCCCTCCTACCTGGATAGATGATTTTGGCCGAGATCTCGGTATCAATAAGAAATGTATTATGATTTGAGATTGCGATTACATGCAGACAGGGCCAGCCCTGATAGCCGAGATCTCGCCTACTTGTGAGAGGGCTGGCCCTATTAACAGGGCTGAAAATGTTGTGTTTTCATCATGTAATTGATTGGGTAGGGCTGGAAAGAAGGGCTGGCTTTCTAAAGACATAACTGCGCATGCTTGCACCTGCTTGCATTTTCATTTTCATCATTCAAAATGGCAGACGCAAGCAAAGTGAATAAACCGAGTGGGAAGAAAAAAACTGGTGCTAAAGCAAAAACAACAGCTTTCAAATGGACGGTTGAAATGGTAAATGACATGCTTGATTTTTTGCTTGAACACAAAACAGAGATGGAGTACAATAATATCAATTTTAATGCCGACAAGGTTCAACTTTATGAAGCGATTTGTTTGAAAATGGCTAGAAAATATTCTGAAGCAGAAGGAAGTATGTTTGGGCCTACAAGCAAAGTTGATGGTGAGGATATTGAGAAATACAAAACACGATGCGAAGAAGATAAAAATATGGTTAAGAAAGGATATTCACGTATTAAGGAAAAGATTAAGGAACTCAGACAAAAGTTCAGTAATGCTGTGACACTGGGAAACGATCTTGATCTGGGAAGTTGGTTCTAGAGTTCTATGACCTCATGGTTCAAATTTGGGGAGGTGCTCCCGCTACTGAGCCTGTATTGTTTGGAGTAATGACTGCAGAAGAAGAGGTTCAACGCCCTGATGCTGCTGAATATGGTGATAATACACAGGAGGAAGAAGAAGGCAATGATTTTCTTGAATCCCTGGCTACAAACATAGATAGGCCTACTTACTCTTCAACTCCCAGTTTCAAGACAATTTTTAAAACACCTGGTCAGAAACGAAAGGGAACAGAAGGTGCAGCTCCTTCCCTTATTGACAATAAAAGAAAAAACATGGAACGGCAACTTTCTGCTGCACAGAGGGATAAAGTTCTTATGCAAGACAGCAAGGAAGAAAAAGAATTTAGAAATAATTTGGTGAAAGCGATGCAGGAGTCAATGAAGGCCATGAGTTCATCAATGGTTGCACTGGCCCAATCATTGCAGAAATCAACAGAAATGATGTCTCAAGAACAAATTCCACGTGAATTTCCAAACCAATATCAACACATGCCTTACGTTTATCAGAATGGAAATTACATAAATCACCAGGACATGGGAATGATGGGTCGACCGCCCATGAGCAACCAGAAAGAGGAAGAGCATGAATCGGATATTTATATGTTTAATTAACTGTCTAGCTGGTTACACTCTCAAATGTTTCCTGAAACTGCAAAAAAATAAACATATTTTGTTGAAAGTCCATAAGAGTTGAGATGTATCAATTCACTTAGTGTAAGTCAAGGTTTAAAATTATCAATTTAGTAATTGTCTGGCAAGTTTATATCAATGTACTCTACTAATGTTTCCCTTACTGATTCTCCTTCACTTGTTGTATTTGAATAGACAGGATCAGGCAAATTTTTCTATTTGTCCTCTTCTAGTCTATTTTGTTGCATTTGAGAGTTCACAGTTTCCTCATCAATGGTATTTGCATGTAGCTCACAAAAATTGTGAAGCACAAAACATGCATGCACTACTTTTGGAATTATTTGCAGTTGAAGATCCATTTTCCTTGTCAAGATGGACCATCTGGCTTTTAGACGTCCAAATGCACACTCAATGGGATTGCGAGCACTTCTTAATATATTATTGAATATAACCTCTGCATTTATTTTGCAAGTCTGAAACTCTTTCATGCAATTTGGGGTGAGGGGTAGGCCGGACCACCAATCAGGTAATTAGGTTAGATTTGAACATGACCAGGAATCAGATGGCTGTATACTTGAGGCATTGTACCATGTTTTAATTTGTTGTTTACTACAGAGTTCGAAAAAACTTTTGCGTCATGAACGCTGCCTGGCCATCTACAATCTATGTCCATGAAATAGCCTTGTGCATCACAAACAGCTTGAATATTCAATGAAATAAAATGTTTGTAATTAAAATAGTCTTGAGAATTCATATGAGGTCTTCGGATTGGTACATGTGTACCATCAATGCAGCCAAAAGCATGAACCATTCCAAATTTTGTTTCAAATTGTGCTGCCTTTTCTCTCATTTCCACGTGTGTTTTAGGTAATGTAATATACTCTGGTGAAAGATATTTTGAAATAGCATTACAGACCTGAACAATCATTTTCGAAACTGTAAATTGATGGATACCGAATGTATTTGCTGTCATCCATATAGAACCAGAATCTTTTAGGTAATATAATGTTACTGCAATTTTTTTCTCTAACGTCAAGGCCCTGTAATTTGGTGATGTTCCTGGCGAGATAAATGGTCGTAATTTATCACAAAGAAGAAAAAAACTGTAATTTGGTCATTCGGAAGTTTCTTTTCCATTCATCTTCAGGTGAAATTCCCTCAATCATATTCGCCCACCAAGACTCTGTTCTTCCATTTCTCACCCAAGTACTTCTTTTCTTTCTCAACATCCTTTTCATGTGAATGTGCTTCGCTTTAATTCGCATTCTGCTTTTCTTCATTGCGCACTATGCAAGGATTTTTTGACACATAATATTGTGTTTAAGTAAATACAAATAAAGAATGCCTTGGAATTGCATCAATAAAGACACAAATATTCCAATTTTACGGCAAATGCTTCTAAATCGTGCTCTGTTGCTTTTTGTTGCCGCCATTTTCATCAGCACAGAAAATTAAAACTTTCCCGCCAAATCATTGCGCAACTTACTGCGCAGGGACGAGAGCTCGACCGCGAGATGAGTTTTTCTCATGTAATCGCAAACAGAAATCCATCTTGATAGGGCCAGCCCTCCTTATGTAATCAGGCCCTTAGTAATCATTTTGGATAATGGGAAGGGTGAAAACATGACTACGAGCCACCATGAAACAAACAAGGTTCAACTCATTGGCAATATTGACATCGGGTAAAGATATTACTGATGATTTAGACGTAACAAAAGTAGCAAACATATTCGTTTCAGGACATGCTAATGATACAACCATTTTCAACTGGTGATTCAACTATTGACCCATAGAAATTGATTATTACATAGTCACAAGAAGGAGGATAGTCTGGAAACTAACAATAGCCTATTGTTCTAGTCTATTGCTAAACGGCAGATGTCGCAAAAGACTAGTGCCCATTCTCTTCCGTGCACGTATTTCGCGAAAAGAAAACCAATGCTATGGCATAACACTTTGTTTCAGACGATCTTGATGTGATTTTGTCTTTTTTGGAAAGTGATAGGTTCGAAGGCGTCCTGCAAGATGGATATCTTGAGTCAGAAATCGATGTAAGTTTTTCGCTGTATACATTTTGCGCAAATTTTGTTTACTCTGAGATACATAAGGTCAGTGCTTTGGCCTAATTAGAAGCTGTTACAGCAAGAAAATAAAAAGTCTTGGGTCAAACTCTTTATAGCAGAACACAGTATTTATCCTCGAACATTAGTTTGTACCTTTCTTCTTAAAGCCCCTGATAATAATGAATGTCACAAGCTCTTAATATCTCCTTATAGATAGGCATAACAAAGTCAGTCTGAAGATGAGCGAGGTCACTTACACAGTCACAAAGTTATTAGTCACTTGTCTTCAACTTTGCACTTGAAATACTGAGGTTTATTCCAAACGAAGTCATATTACATATCTTTTAAAAAAGATACCCCAAAGTTTAAGGCCATGCTTGCAAAATTTATTTTCTACTTGAAATTATTCCCACTCCCAAGATACAGGTTCACCTTGAGTTTTGCCTTGAAAGTTTATTCATACTAAAATGTTGTGAATTATTGAAGTTGATTTGCTTTTTAGATTGAAATTGAATCCAAACATGCTTGCAATATGTGTACTAAAAGCTACAAAACCTTGAGAGGGCTCGAACGTCATAGGATGGCAAAACATATTGATGAAACACCTAATGAGTTAAAGCAAGTAACTGCCGAAAGCCTATTGCATCCTTTGCAGCTAAAGAAGATGCTTCAAAATTGTGCTGAGAAATTTGCAAGAGATGATTGCTATCCGAAGACCATTCAAGATGAATTCAAAACATTTACCCCAGATATAAATGATGTACTACACACATTTGCACTGATTAAAGAAATAATAATATGTTTTAATGGTAACCAGGAGAAGTTTCTGCCCCAATTCTACAGGACTGTGCACGAAGAAACACATTTCTTTAAAGATTTGTCCAGAAATTGCTGTTTGCTTCTTGGCTTTGAAGTAGCAAATCACATTTTTGCCCATCTCAGTGGTGCTAAGCAGAACAAAGAAGCCGAATCAGTTTCCATGATTAAAAAAAAATTCTCAGGAAAGGAAAGAAATGTAATAACCTATTTGAGTGGCCATGTGTTCAGTGAGATGTACAAAAGAGTCCGTAGATCAAAGAGTTGGGAATGTTCTATTAATCAGAACTATTTATCACTTTTAGAGGCTCGAAAATCAAGTGACCAAATTATACAAAGTAACAAAGATTATTGTTTAACAGCAGCAAAAAATCGTGGTGGATTGTGGTTAGTAAACCCAATTATAGTGGATATGTTTTTGGCAGCAGAAGCAGTTTTTCGAATCAAGACAGAGGTGATTAAACCCAAGATTGACCAACATGACATTGTAAAATGCTTATTGAAAGAATCCTCTGTGCATGCAGCAATTTCCCATTTGAGAAATAATGCTACACTGGCTACATCCAACGAAATTACAAAAAATCTTGTTGAAGAACTTTTGTCTTTGTTTGTCAGAATTCGTGTATTTTCCTATGCAAAGGACATTTGTCAGAGTCAAAAGGCAGCAAAAGGAAAAGAAAGGTCCCTGCGAAAAGAAACTTCTTGAATGTTTATCAAATAACACAATCAAGAAGGGAGTTGGAAATTTCAAGGCTGCAAGGTAAAGAAGAAAACTGCAATCAAAAAAGAAGGAGCAAGAAAAGTTTCCACTTGCTTCCATGGCTGTCGTTACAGAATTTAGGCAAAGAAGGAAGAAGGGACTAAAGATAACAAAGTTGTGGTTATGCAAAACTATGAAGCACAGAATTCAGGATATTTATGGAACTGAGAGGGCCACCAAGTTCAAAGCAAGTAACAATTGGTTTCACCGATTGAGGAATCGATACCAGATTTCTCTGAGAAACAGAACAAATAAGAAACAGAAGTCAGCTGATGACTGCAGATCAACTATCCAATCATTCCATAGGACACTAAGGAAAGCACTGAAAACACAGTGGCAACGGATGCATGGTAAAACCACAATGGATGCAAAGAGGGGAAGATGGCTACCTGCAAATAGGTATAACATAGACCAAGTACCTTTACCATTTGCTGTGGATCAAGGGGAAACCTATGCAGAAACAGGAGAAAAACAAATTTGGATTTCCCAGCCCATGAATGGACTAGAAAAAAGACAGGCAACATTACAGCTGTGTATCAGAGCCAAAGGGGAGCAAACAGTTAAACCTGCAATAATTTTTCGAGGAAAAGGTAATGTGACATTGCAAGAACTGGCCAAACATGACAAGCATGTTGATGTATACTTTCAGAAAAATGCATGGATGGACAATGAAATCAACCTTGAATGGACAGAAAACACTTTAGTCCCAGGAGTAGCAGACAAGTCAAAGGAAAGTGTAATTTTTGCTGACAATGTATCTTTTCAGTTAAGAAAAGAATTTCATGAAGCTTGCAGGACAAAATGCAATGCAGTTGTTTACATGCTGCCAGAGTATCAAACTGATAAAGTGCAGCCTATTGATGCAGGAATTGGAAGATTCATGAAGCTAAAAATTGGAAATGCTTTGGATAAGTGGCTTGAAATTGATGAGAAGGTTGAGAAATGGCATGGCAAAATGAGTGCAAAAGAAAGACGAATTCTAATGACAAAGTTGGCTGGTGATGCATGGGATGAAATGCAACATTACAAAGATATTTTCAGGAAGGCATTTAAGCGCACTGGCTGCCTTATGACAGTGGATGGATCTGGAGATAATCTCGTACGTCCTCAGGGAATTGAGCATTATGAATTCTGATGTTTTTTTCATTTTTCAATGTTTTGAATTTTGCTATTTAAAATTATGTTTAAAAAAGTCAAAGTGATTTTAAAATTCTCTTTCTTGTGTTTGAAATGCTGAAAATGCACAACTTAAACCTTTTATACTGATTGTGATTTATCTAATTTTTATCATTTTACCATTAAAAACTATATTTTTTGCCCTTGGAATAAGAACCTATTATATTTTATCACACTGAAACAGGTTCTTAATTACAAGGTGCATAGTTTAGGAAAAAAAGCCTCTAGGTTCTTATTTTTGTAGGTTCTTATATGCGGGGATTTACTGTATCAAGCGATTTCAGGACTATTTGCATGACCTCCCAGTCAAGGTTGTTCCTCTCTGAAAGATATGATCGAAAGTCTTTCTCTTCCGAACACTCCCAATTTCAACTCATTTTTTAGAGGCTGAGCTACCACTTTTGAAGGCTTCCTGGCAAAAAAGACTTCTGCACGCTTTTTATTAGTAATTCACTCAACGTTCTAGATATGTCCATATTTCTTGTTGTCTCCACGTTAGCAGTTACATTTTATCACAAAGCCTGATAAAGTGTCAGGAGTGGTTAATTTGAACAGAAAGGACTACATAAAAAAAGTTGAGAATATTCTCATTGACAAGAAAATTCAACAATACGATCAACTTGACAGTGAATTTTAACTTTTAAATATGTAATATTTAGATATTTTTAAATTTCCTTTTTAACTTTAATTTGAACAGGACTTTCACTGATAGCAGCTTCTGAGCCAAGTTTTATCCTGTATACATGTAGATTATTATTTAAAATTCGAAAAACTAGGCGACATTGAAACACAAGCTAGAGCCAAAACTTCAAAAGCACCTTATGCAGCAGGTCAACTCAAAAGTTATCGACAAGATAGGATAAGTTCACGATGGAATAAGACCCACAAGTTCACAGGGTCTGCAATTGTATGGCCCCCTAAATTACATAACCTGAATGTTCCACTTAGACCCATCTTGTCTATGATTGGCTCAGCACAACATGAGCTGGCTATGTGGCTTTCTCAAGTTTTTTAAGGCAAGCCGTAGTGGAGAAAAGGTGGTTGAAAAGGAAACCATACGTTGAGATTTATATCATTAGGGTCCAGAATTATTGACCTGTGGTTGAAATCATGATTGTTAGTGATCAGTTCTTAAAGTGTTGCTTCAGTTATCCTCCAATAGCCTTGAGCTTCAAATCATGGTGTCTGAGTTCTCCCAATTTGTAGTGTCCGAGATTTTTCGAATTTTTAGTGTCTGAGTTTTTTCGAAATTGAACTGTTCGAGTTTTTTCGAATTTGTAGTGTCCAAGTTTTTTCCAAAATTGAACAGTGCCAGTTTTTTTGTATTTGTAGTGTCCGAGTATATGCATGTAGAATAACAAACAAAGATAAAAAAACTTGCTTTCATTTTCAAATTAATAGTTTTAGATAATATACTGTCCATGAGGTAATCTCTACATTTACGTTTAAAGAATCAGTGCTTCTACACTCTAGCTCTACACAAGTATAAAAGAACAATGAAGGGCAAACAAGTTGAAAAAACAGTTGGTGGAAAAGGTCGCCTGACTGACAAAGTCATTGATAGAATGCAGATTTTTTTTGGCCAAGCATAAAAATAATTCTGGCTTGAAAAAAAGAATGAAGAAAGACATTTTGGCCATTCTGAAGCAAATGGTAAAAGATGACACGCTCTCTCTTGACCAGCAGCATGAAAATTGCCCAAAAGATTCACCAAGTTGGTGCAAATTCTGGAGTCAAAGGGTTATGATAATGATAAAAGACTAGCATCTGCGTTCTATGAAGACTTGAAGCCAATTTACCACAGATTGTCTGCTGATGAGCTGCTGGACAGATGTTTACTTGGTTTAACACAAAATCAAAATGAATCCATAAATGGCATTCTTTGGAGCAAATGTCCCAAAAGAAAGTTTTGTGAGAGGCAGAACTTGCTGCTAGCTGTTGGTGAAACAGTTTGCGAATTCAATACTGGAGCAGCTTCTTGGGAGGAAATCTTGAATTAATCAAAGATTAAGTCAACATCCAATTCCTTAATAAAAAGGCTGAAAAATGCTGCAAAAAAGTTTCAACAAAGGCTCGACAACAGCAAAGAAAACTAAGAAGAAAGAGAAGAGGTGCTGTTGAAAAGGCAACAAGCTACATTTCTGGTGCATTTGAGCTTCACATAACACCAGAATTAGATCTGCATAAAGGAAATTATTTATCAGCAAAATGAGACTTTCGAGCCTGAAATAAAGTTTATTGACGAGAAAAATATTTTGTTAGTCAGAGTAAAGACATTACAGTTACAGGAGCGACCCCCATCTTGTTTTTGCCAAACAATTAGACAATAAAATTCATTCTATTTATAAAAGTCTTGTTTTTTATAAATTTTGATAAAACTGACATAATACAGTTCAACTTAGCCAGTATCTAGCTATCCAGTAACAAAGAATCTTTAATATTGCTTAAGTTGTTCTACTAATTTTAAGGCTAGTTTTCTCAAAACTTGATTTTTGCATTCTGCCGTTACTCTGCAGACTCTATCTTTTGATTAGATTAAGGTATCATGCTGAATTTTTCACACAATGTGTATTTTTTTAAGCTTTCTGACATGACTGTTTTAAATAAGTTCTTTACTACTGCTGAAATGAGGTATTCTGTAAAACATTTTTTTTAAGGTATCAACCACCGTGTTTGAAATTTTTGAATTTTAATACAGTCATTTCACAAAGAGTTGACAAAATAACGTTTTCCATTTTATTTGAGAATAGTATCTTTTGTGGTTCCTGAGATATATTCTGCCGACCAGTTTTGACATATTTTTGTCATGACATTACCCCTGTCTAAATAACAAATCTTTTTGAAGAATAGAAATATATTCAATATTTTACAATCTTTGATCTACATACCTTGAAAATTTCAACTTCAGATATCTTAAACGGTTCACACATAACATTGTTTTAAAGAAGCACGAGGTAGTTTTTATAGTGACAGTAGCCGGCCATCTTAATCTATTTTATGCCAGAAACCATCATAAGTATCAAGGGATAATGGCTGTGGAAACGTTGCTGCAACAAAGTATACCTGAAAAGGTTCAAAATATTATTTTATTTCTATTTTCAACGAGCCGTGAAGAGAGAGGAAAATTTATTAGAGAGGACAGGCATGTAAAGGTTATACCAAATCGTCATTCTCAAGGAACATCTGAGATGTGGCCAGAATCAGGCAACTTTTTCGTTCAAAGCGTTCCATTAATGAAACGCCTATAGATGTTGAAATCTGCAGCCTTATAATAAGCAACTGCCTTACAATGAAAATATTTAAGCGAGTTTCTGAAAAGTCCTGCAGATCGTCCTACAATAAAAGTGCCAAAAATATAAGTGATGAATAGCCAACAATAGCCCCTCATAATGCGTTCAGTATTCTTAAATCTTCAAATAGGGGTCATTCGTGTCTTATTGCATGTTGTTTTTCAGTTTTACTAGATTTAAACAGTGCATTTAAAATCAAAACAACTTGCAATAACCTTTTATATTTTCACACGGTAGGCGAAAAGGATTGTAACAAAGGAGTGTATAACAGAAAAAATAAGAATATGAAAACTCTACCTTTTTCGACTACTGTCTGCCATGCTTTTGAAATGGACTTCTGGCGCGACTTGTCATCCTCTTTGAATTCTGCAAGAATTTCACCTTCATGGTGCAATCTTTCATTTTCTTCAGGTTTATCTGAAATTTCAAGTCAAAGAAAGTATGAAGGATTGAATTAGAATTTGGATTTCAAATTTTTAATGATAATAAATGCTTTGTTTTAAAGAATTATAATAGATGATCAGGCACTGCAGAGCATTGAGAAATTGGGGTCTAAAAATGTTGGGGGGGGGGCTAAAACTGAATAAAAACTGGCTTGACTGTTTATTCATTGGTAAATTTTTTGCAATTTTGGTAAAAATTGAGAAGCTATAGCACCCCCTCCCAGTTCTTTTTCTTTCTCCTAGACTTTCTCCTGATCGGGAGAATGGTTTTTTCCCCCAATAAGGAGACATTCTATTGAGACTTCTCCCGATCAGGAGAAATATCGTTTACTTCTCCCAATCAGGAGATAAATGCTCATATCCCTAGCTGATGTATAGTGTTAATTATATAGTTGCTCTAGCAGAGCCTCAAGAAAAAGCCGCAATAGATTTTATGAAATTTTGAAAGTAGAGCCAAAAGAATCTACAGGAACTAGAGGGCCTGTAATAGCATTCCAAAAGAGGGGCAAGCTACACTTGCGGGAAGGGGAACTATGTCTCCTGAAGAAGTCTTTATAACTAGTGCAGAAAAACAGTGGTGGGGGAGGGGAAAAGTAGACATGCTCCTTCAAGCTCTATGTTAGGTCAGGTTTTATAACAAAAATTGTCAACATGTTTATTATCTAAAATATGTTCTTACTTGAAAATATAGTTCTTAAGCTCTTACTTGAAAAAAGGGAATGTTTCGATATGAATTTTATCTGGCATTTATAAGCCTTCTAAACAACCTTGGCAGTTTCGATCAAAACTTTCATCAGCTTTTAGGTTCAAACCTTCTACCATACCCTCTTCATTCAACAGCTTTAGGTTGTCATACCCAAAGTGACCGTAGCGTTCATGCCATAGCTCAACAGAGTTATCACATGCTCTGGGTGAAGCAAAATATGCGGTACAAACTTCCTCAGTATTCAGCTTGAAGAATTTGCCATCTTTATGACCAATATGCAACGTTTGTTCATTCGAAATAACTATGCAAACATCCTCCTTGAATCAAACTTCTGCAACTCGTTGCTTCATCAATGACAATGATACCAAATTCCTCTTCATTTTTGGGACATAGAAGTACGCCCTTCAAAAATGTTTCTTTGATGTATTTGTGTTCACCGCCAATGCAATCTCACTTGTTGCTGTTGCTGCACCAGCATTTGAGTCCTCAGTACTGTTTGCTACCTCCGATTTTGCATCTT